CTTGGTGATTGATTCACATTGGTTACCTAAGCATAAAATCTGTTATTGAAAAATTTCAACTAGTTAAGACAATTTTTATTTCCACTGATCTATTTTTGAATCGAATCAGGCCCAAAATATCGATTTCAAGAGTAATTTGTCAATGATCAATTTTATTTTCATCAACTACACAATGGCTCATTCCATGGTGGAAAATTGAAAATTTCATTTCTGTCAATCCCAACAGAAAAACCTGCTTTTGTGGCACAGAAAAATAATTTGTTTTATACATAATAGAATGATCTTCAAAATGAATATTGTTAAGGAATTAAATTGCAGATGGTCTAGAAAGTTTTTCTCAACATTCAGTTCTCTCCCAAAACACCAAAACCAAATAAACTGAAAATCCTTTAGATTCTTTTCGCCCTGACTTTATTTTGAAATAGCTTTTTGCTTAGCTTTTCGATACGTAAGTATGCTAGTTACAACATGGTATATAAATACAGCAAGTAAAATGATAATAATAGTACTCAGGGGTAGAAGAATATACCAACAGGGAATCGGAACTGGCTCTTTAGGAGCTTCTGTCGGTTTTTCTTCGACTATTTTCTCTGGCACATATTCGTGAACTAGACCAAAAAATGGATCTTCACAATCGAATCCGCTGTTTTTATACTGTATGAAGGGTTTTTTGTTCAAGTCTGAAAAGTTTTAAAATGCTAAATTCAATACAAAAAATCTCAATCAGTAAGAAGATTAGGGAAAACTCGATATTCTCAACATGCATTTTTCTTTCGATGTATGCGAAAGAAAGTAGAAATTAAATAACCAGTATGCATAAGGAGCGAGATGTGTTTTCGTTTTGGTTTTGAACAATCTTTTGCACTCTATTTCCTCAGAGAGGGAAGAGAAAATAGGGCCGTAGCCAGAACAAAATGTTTGGAGGGTAAAATGAGACAAAATCGACCATTTTCTTCCCTCTCATGGCATTTGCAAATTCTCCTCGGGGGGGGGACGACTTTGCTTGGGGGGCATTGCCCCTCAGCTCTCCCTCTGGCTACGGGCCTGGGAGAAAAAGTTCAATTTGTGATTATGGTAATTTCGACTACTCTGCTAACTCACCGGTGCATAAACTAGTATATGTATAGTCACAATTCCACCTTTCCAGTCGGTCACGAGCCAATAATCGAGGATCTGCATATTTCTTGGCGTAATCGTAATAATCACATTTCGAACAGGGTTGCCCTTTAGTAAGAACATAGTCTTCGTCTCCCCCATAAAGCATTCCATAGGCGCACAAAAGTCTGTCGGTGACAGTAGAATTTGTTTTCTGCATAAGGTATCCACAACCCATCAACGTTGTACCTCCTCTAAGTCCGAAGTTTTCCTCCCTCGAGCTGAAAAATTAATGATGTACTGCATCAGACAGTCGAGAAATCTCTTCCAAGTATCTTGAACCGATTAATTAGAAAAAAATCTAGTTATTCGTGTTTCAATTGGTGTCACTGATATGAAATATCTCATTCAGGAATTTAATGGCTCAAGAATGGCAAATGACTTGATAGAATATGTGACACCTGGCAAAGAATCATTCTAGTACCCATTGTTACATGTTATTTCTCATTTTCACACCATTCTCTTTTTTTTCATTCCTCAACACGTCTGAGAATTGAGAAGGCAAAAATTGTAACTCAATGACTGCAAATGATTTGAAACAAAAAATACTATCAATGAAATTGAAGTAGATATTAACAGAGATTATGAAAATTGGTGAAGGCAATATCATTTGCTTACTTGAATAAGGCACCATAATAATCGAGCAACTTGGCTTTAAACATAATTGGGTTGAGCTGAGTAGAAACTATATTTTCCTGTCTTATTCCAGAAACAATCTGTATAGTAGCAGGCATCAATAAAATTGGACTAAGAGGATGGAATACTGGAAATGAACTCAATTATTACTCTTTGTATTAGTAGGCTAATGGTAAAAATGAATTGTTGTAATTACTTTTCTGAAGAGTCTCGCCGCCATCAAATATGAAATATTTTTCTTCTAAACCATCAAATGTTGGAGGTAAACATAACTGCACTTTTAGTCGGGCAAAACGAGA